AGTATTAAACCACACAAATCATTGAATAAACAAGATTCATATATAAAATAAGTGTCAAGACAAGATTACAACTCAAATCCCCTCAAAATACAAAGCATTAGAGTCTAGAAGGCATGCTTAGGGCTAACTCTAGCCCCAAGAAAATGTTTAGCCACTTATTAAAGTAGTCATCCAACCCTCAAAGGCTATCTCCTTGGTAGGAATGACCTCCTTCTTGATGGAAATGGAAGAACTCCCAAGAGTGTGTCTTCAACCTCTTCTCCCCTCATTTCTTCCTCTCTAAGAATGTATCTAATATGTGAGCATATATGTAAAAAGCTATGTGTAAAAAGTAGCTCAAATCTTTATATATGAGGCTCAAGTGTCACACCCAATGGTCTGGATTCATGCACAAGGGCTCCTCCAATGATTGCACCATAAGACAACTTTTAATGACTTGGAATTTGATTTAATTCGGACTTGAGGAGGTTCAATTGATCGAACTGAGGTGAGATCGATTGAACTTAGGTTAGATCCATCGAATGCTGCAGAGATCGATCATCTTTGGCGGCGCCTTTTTGAATAAAGATAAATCTCTGAGATATTTTGGGATATTTTTGGGAAAAGGACAAAAGTGTTAGGTGGGGTGGTAGGTGTGGATAAGATCGAAATTTTTCGATCGATCGAAGATGGTGAGATCTTTGGATAAGGACAAAAGTTTGGATCCATCTTGATGAAGCCTAGATCGATCACTTTATGATCGATCGAAGGAATGTTGAGATCGATCGAACTTACTGACTTTCCACACTTTGCTTCAATTTTCTTCCACTTGCTTCCACTTTGCTCATTTCTTCCATTCATCTCAAAATTGATTCTTTAATGCTCTTATTTAACTGAATTAGCTTGTTTTGGGGATAAACACCTAAAAAGGACAATAACACGAAATTAGTCTAAGACGGAAAAATAAGATAGATAAAGGTCCTAGAATATCTAAGCTTAAGGTATTTAAATACGCACTTTTCAGTACTCATCAATCATACATCCATGGCCTTAAACCATCGCAAATCTTTTAAAGCCTTTTTCTATAACCCAAGACCAAATCCTATGGTTCAAACATTCAAAACACAGTCCATTAAACTTAAATAAATAAATAAATAAAATAATTAAACAACTAAATACACGTAGCACATACACAAACATAATCATAACAACCAAGTCATTCCATACAAACAAAGTCAACACGCCAATGAACCAACTAACTATTAAACACATACACACATAATCATTATACTAATAAATCAAATAAACAAATTAACAACTAAGGAGATAAATAAATTAATTTAAAATAAATAAATCAATTAAAAGCAATTAATTTAATTTAATAATTCCTCAAAAATATAGGGGTATTACACTTACCCAAATTGGAGAAGGATAAAGCTTGTAGTGAATGAATTTTCACTTATATATACTAAATCAAAACACAAACAATAAGGAGAAAACATATTACAAACATAGAAGGGCCACCTCTAAAAAAAAAAAAAAATCCATAACCATGACAAAAAAAAAAAAAAAAACACAGCCAAAGACAGCAAAGAGAAAACCAATAGAAAGCCACACAAGGCATAACCAAACCAGAAACCCAAGCCATGATAAACAAACCCTTTACCTATTCCAAATTTTAGCTCTACCGTCGACCTCCAGCAGTGGTGGTGGATTGCAGATCGTTTACACAGAAGGATTGTAAACTTGAAGTCGACGTATTCTATATTTGGTTACAAAATTAAATCACTCACCAAAAAAGATTTAGTTGTAAGGGAGTTTGGTTATGGAGAACATGAGAGGTTAGAGAGATAAGTTTTGTTTAGTCTTGACTACTCAGATAAGAGAACGATATGGCAAGTATAAGGGTGTTTATCACTTTAAGGTTGTAAGTTATACTAATATGGGTATATATATATTATAAAAAAGGATTGTATATAAGCCGGGGCGGGCTAGGTATTTATCAGAATTCGTCTTCGCCCCATGACTCGCGACGAGTCAGAATTTTGCATCCATGCTCGCCCCAACGATATAAATATTGTTCCTATATCTATTATTAAAGGGGCGGAATATGCAGTAAAAATTGCCATCCCTATGCGCCAAGTTAAGGTCAAGTGACGATGGAGGAAGATCAACGATGGTGCAAAGCCCAAGGACTCGACGGTGTTGCTTTGGCTAGGGCTCTGTGCGCTTATGTTGATGGATGCAGACCTGCGGTTTGGGCAGCGGTTGTTTTGTTGTCGGCAGAGACGATGAATTCGAAAGGGCTGGGGAGTCGTAAACACGCGCCGCCTCTTCGGCGATGTCGAAGGTGCCTATCCAGTCGTTGATTTTTTTTGCTGGGATCTCTATTTTCAACTGTGTAAAGACTCTAAGGCTTTTTCTTGACGTCTTTATAACACGATTCCTTGCCATTAAATCTGTCTTCGCCTCCATCAATCAATCCAACCACCTTCGCACCCAAACTCGAGAAAGATCTAGATAATTGCGTGGTCATCAGAGAGATGAGCCTTTCATCTTTGACAACAACGTTGATGCAGCAGCCATGTTTGAGGGGTCAACGGCGATGGATTTCTTGGTGGTGATGGTGGCAACGGTAGTAATGGATTTAGTGGTGGGTTTGTTAGGGTTAGGGTTTCAGAGGCCGTGGGTTTGGTAGTGGTTGTTGTTTTGTAGTGGTGGTGGTGGTTCTTTTTCCGTTGTGGTATGGTGTTTGGGGTTTACAGTATACGTATAATATATATAATATATATATTTATATTAGAGAGTGTGGTAAGGTGTAATGAATGTATTCTAGGGGTAAAAGTGTAATTAAGGAGTCTTGGTATTTTACAATTTAAATCAATAAAAAATTAAAGGGCAATCTTGACTCTTTACATTTTTAACAGGTTGTTTGGATCCAATTTTTGACAAGGGGATGTCATTGTCAAAAAAAAATCTAAACTTGTATATGATAAACCTTATGCCAAACTTCAGAGGGTGTTATTGTACTTTACCCTATTATTAAAATGTTTTCTATCATTCTTCTTCTTCTTCCCTCTCAATTTTGGCTCTCTTCATTTTTTTTTCTTTAATAAAAATTTTAAAACTTACTTTTCTACTATATTTTATTTTTTCAACGGCTTCTCTCTATCTCTCCTTAATCATTGTTGTCATTGTTTGCTAATCTCTATTGAGATTAAAATTTTTTACAAAAGGTTATATACTTTTCGGATTTGATTCATCGGATCAAAAATTTGATTAACAAAAAATCATTTTTTGAATTAAATCATAAAATAATGATTATTGAATCGGACTTAATTGAATATTTCTTATCAATTCGGACCGGTTCAGACCTGATCCCTTCCGCAGGGACGGGAGGCACATTGGTTGCCCCCACTAAATTTTCACTTTTCATTAAATTTTCTTATTTTCACTTTTTCCCTCTTAAAATTACAAAAAAATTACACTAAATTCACTTTCAACCCCTCCCCCTCCTGGATTTTTCCTGCCCGTCCTAATCCTATCTGTTTACAAACCCAGTTATATGAATCATGACTAGCTCTTAGAATTTAGTCACTATTTGTTTTGTCCCTTGGATTTTGCTATTTCTCCCTTGCGGATAATATTTTACAAGAGTTTAGACATTCATTCTTTTGATAAATTTTTTACATTGAAAAAATGGGTGAATTTGTTTCTCACTCAACTTTTGGGTTTTGGTTACGGGTTAAATTTACATCCTTATTTGGATTATTTAATTCTGATTATTGACTCATAAATCAAAATGTTAAACCCGTGGCAACTTGAAGAAAATGAAAATAGAAAAAATAAAAAAAATGAAATTGATGCACACGATCAACTCACTGTTTTGGATAATATTTTCCAAGATTATTTTCAAAATGGATGTTATGTGAAGGTATTGAGATGGGAACATAGACGGGGATGTATTTGACAAATTTTAGTCGACCTCCAAAAAAAAAAATAGGATGGACTGAAGTTGAGAGATGGGTAACAAATTAAAATTGTATTTCAGAATTGATATTTATAAGGGTGTATTTCTTAAATTTTGCAAAATTTTAAAGGGTTTTCTAATATTAAATTTATTTTATATTTGGAAAATATACCATAGAGCGAAAAATGACAGACGCATAAACAATTGTTTTCTATTATTCTATATCTGTTTCTTGAAGGATTAAACACCTAAATTAAAAAAATCCTTTTGTTTAATTCTAAAAATATAATAAAAATATATATATATATATATTTATTTATTTATTGTTTTTGGAAATGCCTGTGAAGAGAAATAACTGAAGAGGGGTACAGTGCAAAAAAAAAAAACAAAAAAATAAAAAATAAAAAAACACAAAAAACACTCGTCCTATTTAGAATTTATATATAAATTTATAATATTTAAAAATATGTACAAATTGCCCCCTAATACTAGTAATACATATACACAATCTATTTTTTTTTTAAATTTTAATTATATAAACTTTAAAATGCCCTTAATATATACTCTTAAAATCTGAAATTAATATTTTTTATTTTTAAGTATTTATTTATAACATTATTATTATTATTAATATTATTATTATTCACTTTATCCAACGGGAGAGAGGATATTATTATTATTATTATTCACTTTACTTTTGATTAAGGCTGGAAGCCTGGAACACGGTTATCGACAAATGGTCAAACGGGGATGTCGACAAATGGTCAAACGGGGATGTCGACAAACGGTCAAACGGTGATGGCGCGTAGACCTGTTCACATATATATATATATAAATATATATACGGAGTAATATACTGTATTAAGGAATACTTATAATTTATATATTACACGTGGTTTATTTTCCACCGCCTATAATAAACGCGTATTGTATACTCCAATATTATATAGGGAAATTTGTCATCGTTAGATTAAAATCCACCGCTTAATCCTAGCCCTTGAAAACCACCATCGCTCTCTATAAATTCTGTCGGAAACGTCAGATTGCCATTAGCGACTCGTTTAGGTCTTGGGTTTCTGGTCGAATCGATCCTCTTTTGTGAGTTCTTATAGAGATATTAGGTTTATTTGTTTCGGTAGAAAATAATTTGCAGCTTTTACGATTGCATGGTTATATCAATGTTTTGATGCCATATTTCTTGGAATTCTGCTGTGTTGAATGAGGTCTTAAGCAAGACACAGATTTTTTTTGTGTTTTTCTCCGAACTATGTTCTTCGCTGGTTTGAAACTTTTTTGTTGAATTAAATATTTAATTATTATAATTACAAATAATTTGATCTTTAAAAATTTCGAGGTATGATTATCCATTATTTTACATTCATGGGAATTCCTACAATATTAATTTGAAGTTTCAGAAAAAACTGTTTCTCTTTTATTTGGAAGAAAATAACATGCCATATTGGAATTCTCTCGTGGTGAATGATTTATTGGTGATTGGGTGGTGTTTACTTTTTAGACGAAGATTTTCTGTGTTTTTCTCAAGATTTTGTTCTTTACTGGTTTGGAACTTTTTGTTGAATTAAATATATGATTGATAATCCATAGATACTCTCTATCTGTTTCACACTCCACTTATATATTTAATTTCTAGCAACCTAATTCACCATACAATTAGGGTTAGGACCATACAAGTAGGGATTTGTTGGAAAGATACTTATTTTGGATGATCTCAGAACAACACACAAAATGCAATGCATGCAAATACCTAGGAGGCACCCCCCCTAATTTTATCAAGTGATTATATGTCTTTAATCTTACACGAAGTCACCTTTTTTAAATCCTTCGTTCCTAGGTTTTTGTAGGTTGTGCGTTGCTGATTAAATTACCTACTTATCTGCAAATTGACTTATTTGCACTGGATGAAAGTCCATCAGTCTATGTATTCCGAAATAATCAATAAAAGCTCAATATTAACACCCAATTCTCCCTACACAGCCCATCAAAAAAAGAGTTTTCTGAAGTTGCAATAGAATTTCAGAGCTGATTTTCATCTTAGATTCTTAGATTCTTGAGATGTGGTAACTCCAGGAAACAACTAGAAAATGCGATTTTAATAGACACAAGGACAATAAAAAAGCATAAACACCAATCATGAATTGTCAACATAGATTCTGTTTCTTCAAATTAGCAAGAATTCCTCCGCATCCCGAGATCCTTTATGATTTAGAACCCTCTTTCCTCCATTTCGCAAGATTTTAATTGGATTAAATACCAATTGTTCTCTGCAAGTAAGTTGACTGTATTAACTCGATTTCTTAAAATTTGTTTCAACAATAGTACATTGAACATATTTCGACCTTGTTTTCTATTTTTTGTAACTTCTAGAATAACATAGCTGCAGCGAATAGTAGCATCATAAGTCAGCTATTGAATTTAACTCCATGACTAACATCACAATAACTTTTCCTTTACCTAGTCTTCTACTTCTAGTTCTTTGGTGTACTTTTGTCTCCAAAGAGAGATACATTAAGAACATTGGCTATATGAGAAAAACTTGAACTCCTAATTCTGTAAACATTTATCAAATATTTTTCATCGATGGACTCCCCCGGGCCCTCATCCTCCTCCTCCCACGGGACACACATGCACGCAGTTGCTTGCCACACAAAATACAATGCACAAAAATACATAAGAGGCACTCAAATCCCATCATTGATTAAATCCTCGTTTGTCTATTAGTTCTCAGTTTCTCTTCAGTGCAGGACACAGCAGTTTGGTAGCTCGCAAGGCTCATAACCTTGAGGTCACGGTTTCAAATCCTGTATCGGCAAAATTCTTTTTATGCTTGGTTTTTGTTTTTTCGCCAGTGTGAATGAGTTCCTTTTGCTGGTTGGTCAATACTTTTTTGCTTGTTTGCAGTCTATTACTTGAAGATGGACTTGGTGAAAGTTAAAGAGCCTTTTAAATAGCTGGACTTCTTACTTGTTTTGTTGGAATGTATCCTGCGATTAGTTGAGAATAAAAGAGAGAATCTAATTTGCAGTTTTAGTTTTTTGTTCTTCTTGATTTTTGCTGGAACTATCTTTTTGGTGCTTACATACACTTGCTATTTTACTTGTTTGTAGTCGCTTTTCTTCGATCTGACCTTAAGAATGATTTCAAGTACGGTCTTTTGGAAGAGCTAAGAGAATCTCTACCTGGTTGTACTGCAGGAAATGATCAATCTTTTGCTCTTTAATTGTTATAAGCATGGCGAGAATGATATATAGCTGTTGTTGTTATAGAACCTTCTGCTTGATAGTTTGTGTTAGGATATTGAGTGAGTGGCATATTTTACCCAAAACCTGAATTGCAATGTGTCAAAGTGCCTGGAGTTGTTTGTGAACATATATTCTTTTTTGGATATAGCTATTACTGTTGCTTGTAACTACATCTTGTAGGGGTTCCAGGACAGTTCTGGATGGTTCAATAATTCTATATACTGTTAGTAATGATGCATTAGGTTTTAACTGTCAACTTTGAGCTCTCTTTAGGATTAACTAAAGATGCTGTTCAGGAATGCAGTGCTTCTCCTTGGATGAGACTGATTGGACATCAGTTGATCCCTTCTGATACGTAGAGATCCCTCTGCTTTTGATATGGTGAGATGCAGCAGCTACCTGCAACCTGCTGCAGCAACTGTTTACTTGTTACCTCTGGCTTACATTTGTGCTATTTTGGGAAAACCTTTGTTGAGTTGGGCCATGTGAGTTTTTTTTTTTTTTTTAATCAGATCAGCTTTTTCGTCATCGGTGTTTTGAGATTCTCTTATGTTGCATTTCGTTTTCAGCTTTATGTTCAACTGTGGTTTTAGGTTACTGCAGAAACATGCATATACTGAATTGTTTCTAATTTGGTAATTTCTTTTGTGTCTTTGTAGATTGTAACGATACAGGATGTAGGAACACATTAGAGAGGTTTATTATTTGACTCTTTCTCCACCTACAAGCTATATGTTCTTTCCTTTCCAGCTTCTTTCTAAGCAAAATTATTCAGTGTTGATGGATGTACGCAAAACCTTGGTATCTTGTGTTTTTATATTACCTACCTTACACTTCACTTCCAATTCTCTCTTCTTTTTTTTTGTATTATCTTCCTTACCAATGATTTTTATATCTGCTACTCGCAAATTTAGGGTATCATATATTTACGTTTTAGCATGTATGAATGAGTTTCTTTTGCTGGTTGCTCGTTCTTTTTTGCTTGTTTGCAGTCACTTGAAGATGGACTTCGTGAACGTTACAGAACCTTTTACATGGCTGGACTTCTTACTTGTTATTGGACTGTACATCTGTGATTAGTTGAAAACAGAAGAGTATCTCATTCTCTGTTTTTGTTTTTAGTTCTTTGATTTTGCATGACCTCTCTTTTTGGTGTTTTTACAGACACTTGTTATTTTGCTTGTTTATAGTTGATTTTGAGAGTGGTCTTTTGGAAGAGCTGAGAGAACCTTTTGGTTAGACTGCAGGAAATGATCAATGTTTCTGTAAGTTTGTATTCGAATATTGAGTCATTGGCATATCTTACCCAATACCCGAGTTTTAATTTATTAAAGTGCCTCGAGTTGTTTACGGACATTTTTTGAAGAAATGGCAGACAAAAAATGATATGATTATGTGGAATATTTGCATCCTCAATCGCACAATTAGGTATCAGGTAAATGGACTTTAGTTAATACCTTAGTTTGACCTTTGATCTTTGTTTGGCTCATAAACTGTTTTGATTCTAAACTTTTTAAGTTTTAGATTTTTTTCAAAAGCTTGGAAATTATTCTTTGATTGATCCAGAGAGCTTGTGGCTGGCAGGCATTCGATTGGTCTTGGTTTGTACTAATTTACGTTTAGATAGTTGTGTAGTATATTTGGTATTATTTCACCATCTTTCCAATTTTTACTGCTGTGTTTAATCTTCCTTCATCAATATTTCTATTTTCCATCCGCCATTTGTTCAGGAAATTTGCGGATCTTTCTTACTTGAAATATAGGTGAGGATTAGAATTCCTTTGCAATTCATTATAAATGGGTTATTCTATTTGTACAGATATAGTGGAGAGGTGCATTAAATCCTTTTTTATCTTTTAGTTCTCAGTTCGTCTTTAACGCGGGGCAGAGCAGTTTGGTAGCTCGCAAGGCTCATAACCTTGAGGTCATGGGTTCAAATCCGGTCTCCGATGCATAATTTTTATGCTTGGTTTTTTAATATTTTTTTTTTACCATATATGAATGCGTTTCTTTTGCTTGTTGCTCGTTACTTTTCTGTTTGCTTGCAGTCACTTGAATATGGACATAGTGAAAGCTAAAGAACCTTTTTTGTGGCTGGACTTCTTACATGTTCTTGGAATGTACATCCTGTGATTAGTTGAAATCAAAAGAGTATCTAATTCTCTGTTTTTGTTATTTGTTCTGTCGGCTTGGATTTTGCTTGGCCTCTCGTTTTGGTGTTTACGGACACTTGTTATTTTGGTTGTTTTTAGTTGATTTTGAGAGTGGTCTTTTGGAAAAGGTAAGAGAAACTTTGCCTGGTTAAACTGCAGGAAATGATCAAATGTTTCTGTAAGTTTGTACTACGATATTGAGTCATTGGCATATCTTACCCAAAACCTGAGTTGTAATGTATCAAAGTGCCTTGAGTTTATGGACATTTTTTTTGAAGATATGACGGACAAAAAAGGAGAAGATCATTGTGGAATATTTGCATCCTCAATCGCACAATTAGGTATCAGGTAAATGGACTTAAGTAAATAACTTAGTTTGACCTTTGATCTTGGTTTGGCTCATAAACTGTTTTGATTCAAAACTTATAGAATTTTTTTTTGATAGCTTGCAAATTATGCTTCAAATGAAAAAGATAGCTTTGATCGAATGATTAACAGATTCAATTGGTTTCAGGTAATATTTAGTTCAGAGTTAGAATTCATTGATTGCATGGTTGATAGATGGAATGCCTGCGTGACTTCTGGTAAGCTTCGATCAATCGTGCTTATCAGACCTACGTATTAGGTACCTGTATAATAGTAGTGGGTGTTTTTATGTAGGATCTCAATGAATGCCAGTAATGCTCGATATGTGTCATAGTGCAGTCTGGACCTTGTGGTAGGCAGCATTCGATTCGTCATGGTTTGTGCTTATTTAGGTTTTGAAAGTTGTGTAACAGTATATTTGGTATTATTTTACCTTCTTCCCAATTTTTACCGCCATGTTATTCTTCCTTCATCTATATTTCTCTTTTCCACTATTTGTTCAGAAAATTTGAGGATCTTTCTTGCTTGAAATATTAGGTGAGGATTACTATTCCCTTACAATTCATTATAAATGGGTTAATCTATTTGTGCTTATATTTTGTATTATTTCACCATCATCCCAATTTTTGCCGCTGTGTTTATTCTTCCTTCATCTATATTTCTCTTTTCCACCATTTGTTCTTAAAATTCATGGATCTTTCTTACACTGAATATTAGGTGAGGATTGCTATTTGATATAGTGGGGGAGCATATTAAATCCTTGTTTGTCAATTAGTTCTCGGTTCTTGTCTTCAGCGTGGGGCAGAGCAGTTTGGTAGCTCACAAGGCTCCTAACCTTGACGTCATGGGTTCAAATCCCGTCTCCGCAGCTTTATTTTTATTCTTGGTTTTTTATTTTTTATTTATTTTTAACGTGTGTGAATAAGTTTGTTATGCTGGTTTTCCGTTACTTTTTTGTTTGTTTGCAGTCACTTGAAGTTTGGCTTGGTGAAAGTTAAAAGAGTCTTTTGTGTGGCTAGACTTCTTCCTTGTCTTTGGACTGTCCATCCTGTGATTAGTTGAAAACAGAAAATAGTATCTAATTCTTTGTTTTTGTTTTTTGTTCTTTTTTTTTTTTTTTCGCTTGACCTCTCTCTTTGGTGTTTATAAATGCTTGTTATTTTGCTTTATTTGTAGTTAATTTTGACAGCGGTCTATTGGAAGAGCTTAAGAGAACCTTTACCTGGTTAGACTGCAGGAAATGATCGATGTTTCTGTAAGTTTGTTTTAGCATATTAAGTCATTTGCATACCTTACTCAAAACCTGAGTTGTAATGTATCAAAGTGCTTTGAGTTGTTTATGGACATTTTTTTTGAAGACATGGCAGACAAAAAATTGAGATCATAATGGTGGAATATTTGCATTCTCAATCGCACAATTATGTATCAGGTAAATGGACTTCAGTAAAAGCCTTAGTTTGACCTTTGATATTGGTTTGGCTCTTAAACTATTTTGGTCTTAAACTTAAGTTTTAGATTTATATTATTTTCGAAAGCTTGGAAGTTATGTGTTGTTCGATCCAGAGCTTTGATCGAATGATCAACAGATTGAATTTGTTTCTGTTGATATTTTGGTCAAAGTTAGAATGTGTTGATTGCACGGTGGATAGGAGGGTGAATTCCTTTTAGACTTCTCTTAGGCTTCGGATCAATCGTACTAGTCAAACCTACGTATTCGGTGCCTGTATAATAGTATTGGCGTCTTTTTATGTAGAATCTCATAGAAGGCCGGGAAATGTCATGGTGCAATTGGTACCTTGTGGTAGGTAGATTTCGATTCGTCTTGGATTGTCCTTGTATTTGGTATTATTTCATCATCATCCCAATTTTTACCGCTGTGTTTATTCTTCCTTCATCTATATTTCTCTTTTCCACAATTTGTTCTGAAAATACATTGATCTTTCTTACACTGAATATAAGGTGAGGATTGCTATTCCTTTACAATTCATTACAAATGGCTTCTTATTCTATTTGTTCAGATATAGTGGGGGAGCATATTAAATCCTTGTTTATCTATTAGTTCTCAGTTCTTGTCTTCAGCGTGTGGCAGAGCTGTTTGGTAGCTCACAAGGCTCCCAACCTTGACATCATGGGTTCAAATCCTGTATCCACAGCTTTCTTTTTATTCTTTGTGTGTTTTTTTAACATGTGTGAATAAGTTTGTTATGCTGGTTCTCCGTTGCCTTTTTGCTTGTTTGCTGTCACTTGAAGATTGGCTTGGTGAAAGTTAAAGAGCCTTTTGCGAGCTAGACTTCTTCTTTGCCTTTGGACTGTACATCCTGTGATTAGTTGAAAACAGAAGATGGTATCGAATTCTATGTTTGTTTTTTTTGCCTGACCTCTCTCTTTGGTGCTTACAAATGCTTGTTATTTTGCTTTATTTGTAGTTGATTTTGAGAGTGGTCTATTGGAAGAGCTAAGAGAATCTTTACCTGGTTAGACTGCGGGAAATGATCGATGTTTCTGTAAGTTTTTTTTAGGATATTGAGTCATTTGCATATCTTACCCAAAACCTGAGTTGTAATGTATCAAAGAGAGTTGAGTTGTTTATGGACATTTTTTTGAAGACATGGCAGACAAAAAATTGAGATCATAATGGTGGAATATTTGCATTCTCAATCGCACAATTATGTATCAGGTAAATGGACTTCAGTAAAAACCTTAGTTTGACCTTTGATCTTGGTGTGGCTCTTAAACTATTTTGGTCCTAAACTTTTAAGTTTTAGATTTATATTATTTTTGAAAGCTTGGAAGTTGTGTGTTGTTCGATCCAGAGAGCTTTGATGGAATGATCAACCCGATTGAATTGGTTTCTGTTGATATTTAGGTCAAAGTCAGAATGCGTCGATTGCATGGTGGATAGGGTGAATTCCTTTTAGACTTCTTGTAGTCTTTGATCAATCGTACTTGTCAAACCTACGTATTCGGTGCCTGTATAATAGTATTTGCGTGTTAATATGTAGAATCTCAAAGAAGGGTTCGGGAAATGTCATAGTGCAATCGGGACCTTGTGGTAGGTAGCATTCGATTCGTCTTGGATTGTGCTTATATTTGTTTTTATTTCATCATCATCCCAACTTTTACCGCTGTGTTTATTCTTCCTTCATCTATATTTCTCTTTTCCACCATTTGTTCTGAAAATGCATTGATCTTTCTTACATTGAATATTAGGTGAGGATTGTTATTCCTTTACAATTCATTACAAATGGCTTCTTATTCTAATTGTTCAGATATAGTGGGGGAGCATATTAAATCCTTGTTTGTCTATTAGTTCTCAGTTCTTGTCTTCAGCGTGTGGCAGAGCAGTTTGGTAGCTCACAAGGCTCCTAACCTTGATGCCATGGGTTCAAATCCCGTCTCCGCAGCTTTCTTTTTATTCCTTTTAAGTTTGTTATGCTGGTTGTCCGTTACTTTTTTGCTTGTTAACCTTTTTGCTTGTTTGCTGTCACTTGAAGATTGGCTTGGTGAAAGTTAAATAGCCTTTTGCCAGCTAGACTTCTTCCTTGTCTTTGGACTGTACATCCTGTGATTAGTTGAAAACAGAAGATGGTATCGAATTCTCTGTTTTTGTTTTTTGTTCTATTTTTTTTTTTTTTTTTTTTTTTTTCTTTTAGTTCGACTCTCTTTGGTGTTAACAAACACTAGTTGTTTTTTGCTTTATTTGTAGTTGATTTTGATAGCGGTCTATTGGAAGAGCTAAGAGAACCTTTACCTGGTTTGACTGCTGGAAATGATCGATGTTTCTGTAAGTTTGTTCTAGGATATTGAGTCATTTGCATATCTTACCCAAAACTTGAGTTGTAATGTATCAAAGTGCCTTGAGTTGTTTATGGACATTTTTTGTGAAGACATGGCAGACAAAAAATTGAGATCATGATGGTGGAATATTTGCATTCTTTGTCGCACAATTATGTATCAGGTAAATGGCCTTCAGTAAAAACCTTAGTTGACCTTCGATCTTGGTTCGGCTCTTAAACTATTTTGGTCCTAAACTTTAAGTTTTAGATTTCGATTATTTTTGAAAGCTTGGAAGTTATGTGTTGTTTGATCCAGAGAGCTTTGATTGAATGATCAACCGATTGAATTGGTTTCAGATGATATTTAGGTCAAAGTCAGAATTCGTCGATTGCATGGTGGATAGGGTGATTTCCTTGTAGACTTCTTGTAGTCTTCAATCATTTGAACTTGTTGGACCTACGTATCTGGTGCCTGTATAACAGTAGTGGCGTGTTTTTATGTAGGATCTCAATGAAGGCCAGTAGTGTTCAGGAAATGTCATAGTGCAGTCGGGACCTTGTGGTAGGCAGAATTCGATTCATCTTGGTTTGTGCTTATTTACGCTTTGAAAGTTTTTTAAGTGTATATTTTGAATTATTTCACCATCTTCCCAATTTTTACCACTCTGTTTATTATTATTCCTTCGTCTATATTTCTCTTTTCCACCATTTGTTTTGAAAATTCATAGATCTTTTTTACTTGGAATATTAAGTGGGGATTACTATTCCTGTACAATTCATTATAAATGGATTATTCTATTTGTGCAGATATAGTGGACGAGCATATTAAATCCTTGTTTGTCTATTAGTTCACAGTTCTCGTCTTCAGCGTGTGGCAGAGCAGTTTAGTAGCTCGCAAGGCTCCTAACCTTGACATCATGGGTTCAAATCCTGTATCTGCAACATTTTAATTTATTCTTGGTATTTTTTTTTTTTTAGCACATGTGATTTAAGTGTCTTTTGTTGGTTGTTCTTTACTTTCTTGCTTGTTTGCAGTCACTTGTGGTGGGCAGCATTCGATTCGTCTTGGTTTGTGCTTATATTTGGTATTATTTCACCATCATCCCAATTTTTATCGCTGTGTTTATTCTTCCTTCATCTATACTTGTCTTTTCCACCATTTGTTCTGAAAATTCATGGATCTTTCTTACTTGGAATATTAGGAGAGGATTACTATTCCTTTACAATTCATTAGAATTGGGTTATTTTATTTGTACCGATATAGTGGAGGGGCATATTAATTCGTTATTTGTGTTGGTTTGTGCTTATATTTGGTATTATTTCACCATCATCCCAATTTTTATCGCTGTGTTTATTCTTCCTTCATCTATACTTGTCTTTTCCACCATTTGTTCTGAAAATTCATGGATCTTTCTTACTTGGAATATTAGGAGAGGATTACTATTCCTTTACAATTCATTAGAATTGGGTTATTTTATTTGTACCGATATAGTGGAGGGGCATATTAATTCGTTATTTGTGTATTTGTTCTCAGTTCCTGTCTTCAGCATGGGTTGGTAGATCGCAAGGCTCCTGACCTTGACGTAATGGGTTCAAATTCCGTCTCCGCAGCATTATTTTTATTCTTGGATATATTTTTTTTAACATGTGAATAAGTTTGTTTTGCTGGTTGCTCGTTACTTTTTTTGCTTGTTTGCAGTCACTTGAAGATGGACTCGGTGAAAGTTAAAGAGCCTAGTGGGTGGCTGGACTTTTTTCTTGTTGTTGGACTGTAATCCTGTAATTAGTTGAAAACAGGAGAGAGTATCTAATTCTCTCTGTTTTCATTTTTCGTTCTTGAACTTTGGTTGACGTCTCTCTTTGGTGTTTTCCAACACTTGTTATTTTGCTTGTTTATAGTTTATTTTGAGAGCGGTCATTTGGAAGAGGTTAGGGAACCCTTACCTGGTTAGACTGCAGTAAATGATCGATGTTTCTGTGAGTTTGTACCCAAAACCCGAGTTGTAATGTATCTTAGTGCCTTGAGTTGTTTATGGACATTTTTTTGAAGCCATGTAGGCAAAAAATTGAGAAGATCATGGTGGAATATTTAAATTCTCGATCGCATGATTAGGTATCAGGTAAATGGACTTTAGTAAATACCTTAGTTTGAACTTTAATCTCGTTTAGTAAATACATTAGTTTTACGTTTTGAGAGTTGTGTAACAGTATATTTGTTATTATTTCACTGAATACGTAGGTCGATAGATTGAATGCCTGTGAGACTTCCAGTATGCTTCGATCAATCGTACTTGTCAGACCTACGTATTTGGTGCCTTAATGATAGTATTGTGGTTGTTTTATGTAGGATCTCAGTGGGACCTTGTTGTTGGCAGCATTCGATTCGTCTTGGTTTGTGCTTATTTATGTTTTGAAAGTTGTGTAACAGTATATTTGTTATTGTTTTACCATCTTCCCAATTTTTACCACTATTGTTTATTCTTCCTTCATCTATATTTCTATTTTCCACCATTTGTTCTGAAAATTCATGGATCTTTCTTATTTGGAATTTTAGGTGAGGATTACTATTCCTTTATAATTTATTATAAGTTGGTTATTCTATTTTTACCACTATTGGTAGTTCGCATGTCTCCTAACCCTGACGTCATGGTTTCAAATCCCGTCTCCGTAGCATTATTTTTATTCTTGGGTTTTTATTTTTATTTTTTTTAACATGTGTGAATAAGTTTTTTTTGCTGGTTGCTCGTTACTTTTTTGCTTTTTTGTTTGTTTGCAGTTGCTTGAAGATGGATTTGGCGAAAGCTAAAGTGCCTTTTGTGTGGCCGGACTTTTTACTTGTTATTGGTCTATACATATTGTGATTAGTAGAAAATGGAAGAGAGCATCTGATTCTCTGTTTTATTTTTTTGTTCTTGGATTTTGCTTGACCTCTCTCTGGTTTTTCGCTTGTTTGATTTTGAGAGCGGTCCTCTCTCTGGTTTTTCGCTTGTTTGATTTTGAGAGCGGTCTTTTTGAAAGGCTAAGAGAACCTTTACTTGGTTAGACTGCAGGAAATGATCGATGTTATGTGTTAAAGTCGTTGAGTTGTTTATGGACATTTTTTTGAAGACATGGCAGACAAAATATTGAGAAGATCAAGGTGGAATATTTGCATCCTCAATCGGACAATTTGGTACAAGTAAATGGGCTTTAGTAAATATACCTACCTTAGTTTGACCTTTGATCTTGTTTTGGCTCCTAAACTGTTATTGATTCTAAACTTTTAAGTTTTATATTTTTTTTCGGAAGGCTTGTAATTTTTTAATCGTTGATCGATCCAGAGAGCTTTGATCGAATGATTAACTGATTGAATTGGTTTTAGGTAATATGTAGTTCAAAGTCAGAATGCATCGATTGCATGGTGGATAGGTTGAATTCCTTTTTGACTTCTTGTTAGATCTATGTATCGGTGCCGGTATAATTGTAGTGGCGTGTTCTTAAGTAGGATCTCAATGAAGGCCTGTAGTGTTTGGAAACGTCATAGTGCAGTTGGGACCTTGTGGTAGGCAGCATTCGATTCGTCTTGGTTTGTGCTTATTTATGTTTTGAAAGTTGTGTAACAGTATATTTGGTGAAATATCTACCCAATTTTTACTGCTCTGTTTATTCGTCCTTAATTTATATTTCTTTTTTCCACCATTTGTTCTGAAAATTCATTGATCTTTCTTACTTGAAATATAAGATGAGGATTGCTACTCGTTTACAATTTATTTTAAATGGGTTATTCTATTTGTGCAGATATAATGGTGGAGCATATTAAATCCTTGTTTGTCTTATCTACTCAGTTCTTGTCTTCAGCCTGTGGCAGAGAAGTTTGGTAGCTCGCAAGTTTCCTAACCTTGACGTCATGGGTTCAAATCCCTTCTCCGCAGCATTATTTTATTCTTGGGTTTTTTTTTTGCTGGTTGCTCGTTACTTTTTTGCTAAGGTGGACTTGGTGAAAGTTAAAGAGCCTTTTGTGTGGCTGGACTTCTTGTTAATTCTCTGTTTTTGTGTTTTCTTCTTCTTGGATTCTGTTTGACCTTTCTCTTTGGTGTTTACAAACTCTTGTTATTTTGCTTGTTTGTAGTTGATTTTGCGAACGGACTTTTGGAAAAAAGCTAAGAGAACCTTTACCTGGTTAGACTGCATGGGATATTCTTCGTTGTAAGAATTAGGATATCGAGTCATTGGCATATCGTATTACCCAAAACCTGAGTTGATATATCAAAGATCCTTGAGTTTTTTATTGTCATTTTTTTGAAGACATGGCAGACAAAAAATTGAGAAGATCATGGTGGAATAGTTGTATCATCAATCGCAGAATTAGGTACAGGTAAATGGACTTTAGTAAATACCTTAGTTTGACCTTTGATCTTGGTTTGGCTCCTAAACTGTTTCGATTCTAAACTTTAAGTTTTAGATTTTTTTGAAAGCTTGGAAGTTATGAGCTGATCGATCCAGAGATTTTTGATCGAATGATCAATCGATTGAATTGGTTTCAGGTAAATATTTAGTTCAAAGTGAGAATGCATCGATTGCATGGTGGATAGGTTGAATTCCTTCTAGACTTTTTATTGTCTTTGATCAATCGAACTTGTTGGACCTATGCATTCGGTGCCTGTATTATAGTAGTGGCGTGTTTTTATGTAGGATCCCAATGAAGGGTGTTTGGGAAATGTCATAGTGCAGTCGGGACCTTGTGGGAGGCAGCATTTGATTTGTGTTGGTTCGTGTTTATTCATGTTTTGAAAGTTTTTTCACAGTATATTTGATTTTATTTCACCATCTTCCCAATTTTTATCGCTGTGTTTATTCTTCCTTCATATATATTTCTCCTTTCCACCATTTGTTCTTAAAATTCATGGATCTTTCTTACTTGGAATATTAGGTGAGGATTACTTTTCCTTTTAGAATTCATTATAAATGGCTTAGTCTATTTGTGCAGATACAGTGGAGGAGCACAGTATATTTTGTTTGTCTATTTTTTCTCAGTTCTTGTCTTCAGCGTGGGGTAGACTTAGTTTGGTAGCTCGCAAGGCTCCTAACTTTGATGGCATGGGTTCATGTAGGATCTCAATGAAGGCCAGTAGTGTTCGGTAAATGTCATAGTGCAGTCTGGATCTTGTGTTAGGCAGCATTTCAATTTGTCTTGGTTTGTTCTAATTTGCATTTTGAAAGTTGTGTAACAGAGTATATTTGGTAATTATTTCACTACCTGTTCTTAAAATTCATGTATCTTTCTTACTTGAAATATTAGGTGAGGATTAGAATTCCTTTGCAATTCACTATAAATGGGTTATTCTATATGTATGCACAGATATAGTGGAGGGGTGCATTAAATCCTTGTTTGTCTATTAGTTCTCAGTTTTGGGTTCAAATCCAGTCTCCGCAGCATTTTTTTTTTAATCCCAGGATGTGTGAATGAGTTTCTTTTGCTGGTTGCTTGTTACTTTTTTAATTTTTTTTGCTTTTTGCATTTTGCAGTCACTTGAAGATGTACTTAGCAAAAGTAAAAGAAACTTTTTTGTGGCTGGGCTTTTTACTTGTTATTGGACTGTACATCCTGTGATTAGTTGAAAACAGAAGAGTATCTAATTATCTGTATTTGTTTTTTGTTCTATCTTCTTGGATTTTGCTTGACCTCTATTTTTGTTGATTGCAGACGCTTGTTATTTTTCTTGTTTGTAGTGGATTTTGAGAATGGTCTTTTGGAAGAGCTAAGAGAACCTTTACCTGGTTAGACTGCAGAAAATGATCAATCTTATATTAAGTTTGTGTTAGGATATTAAGTCATTGGCATATCCTAGTTTATGGGCATTTTTTTGAAGTGATGGCAGACAGAGAAACTAAGAAGATCATGGTGGATATTTGCCGGTAAATGGACTTCATTAAATACCTTAGTTTGACCTTTAATATTTGTTTGGCTCCTACACTGGTTTTGATTCTAAACTTTTATTTTTTAGATTTTTTTTCGAAAGCTTGGAATTTATGCTTTGATCCATTCAGAGAGCTTTGATTGAATGATCGACCGATGAATTGGTTTCAGGTAATATTTAGTTCAAACTCAGAATGTATTGATTGCATGTGGATAGGTTCTTTTAGGCTTCTTGTAGTCTTCAATCAATCGAACTTGTCGGACCTACGTAATTGCCTGTATTATAGTAGTTGCGTGTTTTTATGTATGATCTCAAGAAGGCCACAAGGGTTCGGGAAATGTCATAGTACAGTCGAGACCTTGTGGTAGGCAGCATTTGATTTGTCTTGGTTTTTTGCTTATTTACGTTTTGAAAGTTGTAGCAGTATATTTGGTATTATTTCACCATCTTCCCTTTTTTGTACTGCTGTGTTTAGTTTTTAATCTTCATTTCTCTCTCTCTTTTCTATCATTTGTTCTGAAAATTCGTAGAGCTTTCTTACTTGAAATATTAGGTGAGGATTAGAGAATTCCTTTACAATTCATTTATAAATTGGTTAATTCTAGTTATACGGATATAGTGGAGGGGCACATTAAATCCTTGTTTGTATATAATAGTGTACTCAGTTCTAGTCTTCAGCGCGGGGCAGAGAAGTTTGGTAGCTGGCAAGGCTTATAACCTTGAGGTCATGGGTTCAAATCCCGTCTCTGCAGTATTATTTTATTTTATTTTATTTTATTTTATTTTATATTTTTTAATTTTTAATTTTTAATTTTTTGTTTCAGCATGTGAATGAGTTTTTATTGTTTGCTGGTTTCATGCCTGGACTCCTATGTAGAGAAGGTATTGGCTTTTAGGTTTTGTAGTTTCCAGTTTTTGTGACGGGTGGAAAATATTTACATAGTATCTAGTAGCTAGACTGATATTTTGGTTGGCTTCTAAAAAGTTAATATTTTGTTCTCCGCAGCTATATCTTGCAAAGTGTAGAATGGTCCTTGATAGGTGCATCTGCAGTTTTGTTTCTTGTAGGTTATGCCAGTTGTTCACATTACGTGATCTGAACACTCGTACGAGTAATAGTTGGATCATTGTTAAAACTCTTTTAGAGTGCCTGTTGTCCAGCTGGACATGTGAACCTTGAAAACTTTTTTTTTCCCCTTCTCTTTTGATTTCTTGGAAGTAATTACGCTCTATCTCTAATTTCTGAGGTACAAATTTTATGGATTTTCTGCTTTGTAGATTTTCTGCTGAAGGCCTTGCTGTGGTACAGTACTTTTGAATGGTTGTGCTTTCAAGGGCTTCTTGCAAAGGCTCTCCTCTGCTTTGTGCTTTCTTTCTTTTTCTTTTTTCCCCTCGGTTCTTCACTTACACTTCTCTTTCACGAGGGTGTTTTGTGTTTTGTATTATCTTCCTTGTCAATGATTTTTATATTTGTTACTAACAAATTTAGGTGAACTTGATTTTGAATAATAACAGTGGGGGGATTTTTTGCAGGATCTTAATAAAGACTAAAGTAAATGTCAAAGTGCAGTTGGGTCCTTGTGGCAGGCTGCATTTGATTGATCTTGGTTAGTGCTTATTTACATTTTGAAAGTTGTGTAACAGTATCTTTTGTATTATTTCCCCTTATACTCATTTTTTACTGCTCTGTTTAAATCTTTCTTCATCTCTCTCACCTTTTCTGCCTTTTGTTCTAAAAGTTGATGGATCCATCTTACTTGAAATATTAGGTGAGGATTAGAATTACTGTTCTCTTTAAATGGGCTATTCTATTTGTACAGATATATAGTGGAGGGGTGCATTAAATCCTTGTTTGTCTATTAGTTCTCACTTCTCTTCAGTGTAGGGCAGAGAGCAGTTCGGTTGCTTGCAAGGCTCATTACCTTGAGGTCACGATTTCAAATCCCGTCTCTGCAACATTCTTTTATTCTTAGTTTTTGTTTTGTAGCATGTGTGAATGAGTTCCTTTTGCTGGTTGGTTGTTACTTTTTTACTTGTTTGCAATCTATTACTTGAAGATGGACTTGGTGAAAGTTAAAAGAGCCTTCTGCGTGGCTGGACTTCTTACTTCTGTTATTTTGCGTGGCTGGACTTCTTACTTCTGTTATTGGACTATATCCTGCCAAAAACTAATTCTTTGTTTTTGCTTTTTGTTCTATTTTCTTTATTTTTGCTTTAAAACTCTCTTTGGTGTTTACCGACACTTTGCTTGTTTGTAGTCGCTTTGCTTGGACCTGACCTTAAGGTGGATTTTTAGCACGGTCGTTTGGAATAGCTAAGTGTGGTTAGATTGCAGGAAATGATCAATCTTTTGCTCTTTAATTTTTATAAGCCTGATGCGAATGATATCTTTTACCCTTTAATTTTTATAAGTCTCGTGCGAATGATATATAGCTGCTGTTGTTATAGCACTTCTGCTTGTAAGTTTCTGTTAGGATATATAGCTGTTGTTGGTACTTTCTTTTCTGTCTTTCTGCTTCTGTTAGATTGTTAACGATACAGGATGTTGCGGCTGCTTACAAGCTATTTGTTCTTTCCTTTCCATCTTCTTTCTGAACCAAATTGTTTTGTGTTTTATGGATACACTCTAAACCTTGGTATCTTATGTTTTGTATTATCTTCCTCCTTTTTGTAAGGAAGCAAATTCTTCCCCCCTCCCACACGCACACAAACCAAAAAAAAAATTAAGGATGCATTTCCTTTTCAGACTGAACTTAACTCTTGGACAATCGACTTCCATTCTGGGTTTTGCCATCACTGTAATTACGCCATCTCAGCTGATGAGTTTTCTGATTGTGTGTGCGTGTATATATATATATATATATTTGTTCTTGTTATCTTATTATCCATTTTTTCTAACTGGTGGAGCTTCTGCTAGCTGTTTGCTTTCTGGTGTTTGGTGGCTGCAATTGATTGACTGCGGTTATTTTTTTCCCTTTTGTGGACTGTGCTCAGTACTTTTCTTGGTGATTTGCGTCATTAAAAGCACTCACCTACTAATATCTGCATTTCCTTAAAATGATGGTCTTATCTATTTTGTGAGACACATATTGTTGATATCATATTTTAAGATGTGATGTCTTACATTTTTGCATTTTCAATCTTATACTTGGATAATTGTATGCATCTTGTTTAAATTAGATTCTTAGTCTAAGGTTAATAGCAGTGCTTTGAATTCCAAGAGTAGGTTGGACCATCTTGGTTAAACCAAATAAGTTTTGATGCAACATAGATTGAATTGCAAATACACATCTCTTTTTAATATCGATTCTTGGTGATATGGTTCTTTGTTCTTTATTCGTTGCAGTGAACGTATGGGAGGATATATTGCAATTCACTGATTGAGCACCCGCAGTTGGAACATCAAACAGTTATTTGTCTATGATGTCTATCGTGCGGACCCCAATACAAGTGTTCTCGTTTATATGTGCATTCTGTTTATTTGTTTATGTTAGTTTTTATGTGTGATATATTTATTTGTGTTTTTTTTATATGGATTTTGGAGAGTACGGGGAGATCATTCTATCTTGCTTCCGCCTTCTTTTCCATTGGCTAATGTGTAATGCAATTAGCAGCAACTCTATGTTGCTGAGATTGTATTTAGAATTAAAAGAAAAGTGTAAATAAATACTAGTTTTATTTGTTGCCCTCTTTTTGTTTGTTTGCCATGTTGATATTTTTGTCCTGCATGTTGGGTTATGTTGTAGGGATCATACGAAATTTCTTGACAGTTGAATAATGCTAGATTCCATCTAGTGATGCATCAGTTTGGGCTGTTAACTTTGCTTCTTTTATGTGTACACACTAATAATCTATTGGGAAAGTATTGCTGGTATCGTTTTTGGGTGAATTGCTTGTTGGATGAGACGATTGGTGATTATTGTTCCAGAAGATAGCGTTTACCATTTGTATTATAGAAGATGTGTTGATAAGTAGTTAAGAGTTGACCAAAGAACCATTGCTATTTATAGCATTATATCCCATCATCTAGTTATGTCTCCTAGTTCTCTTTATCTTTGTCATTCCGGTGTTAGTGTTGGCTTTCAATTTGCATTTGTCTATGGATGCCATCTTTTACCTGAAATTTGTCTTTTCTTGTTACCTTACCTCTTGAAGTGGTGTAGAGACTCCTCCTCTCTCAGTTAAAGTGAATGACACTCTGTTTTAGGGTTAGAGAGGAGGAGGAGAATCTGATGGATGTCAGGGTTCTATTTTATGTATTTATACTAGTATTAAGTAAGCAAAATTACAGTAATGCCCTTAACAAACAAAAATGAATTCTAACTCTTGTAACACTCCTTGTGTAAATGAAATTATTGGTACTTAGTGTTTGCAGAGTCTTCTGCTATCCCCTCGTTCCTTTTGGTGGTTGTGTTAAATTGAAAACTCACCTTTGTCTAAATGAGGTTATTGGAACCATTTTTAATGACTCTCTCTTCACCATTGAGTCGAAAGATGAAATGAGAATATTGTTTCGTTGCCTTCATGTGAGGCTGCTGATTGTAGTTGCCTTTCCTTGTTTGCAGGCTGCTAGTTCTCTTATATTCTTTTCATGCAGGGTTTTTGTTGACTCTTTACTCTTTGTCGTTTCATCCATTACAAGGAAATTGACATATTAAAGGCAGGTTCAGTTGCATGCCGGCGGTTAAACTTTATACCCTCACACTTTCGCATGGTTTATAATAGATATTTTTAGATTGCATTTTTTCCTTTTACTTGCCAATATAGATGCGATCAGCGGATCATTGGTGAAATTGATGGTTCTTAAAATGTGTGAGAACACTTCTCTAACTATGATTCCATCTTCTCATCGTAGGAATGCTGCTTGATCCTCACTTACTATGATTGAGGTTCTTATAACATATGGATATGTACACACTTACACTCTTGGGGAATGTGCGTCAGCAGCCTGTTTAGAGAGTTCTCTGCTTTCTCGTTGCAACATGTTGAAGCTATATTTAGCAGCATGTGCTTGGGGACTTGATTGCAGTTATTTAACCTGTTCTAGTAAATTCCGCTTCTGTATCCTGATGCCTGGATGGCTTCTTGTTTCTTAGGGACCTCATGGTATATTTCAAGATCTAAGTGATTGAATGTATATGGTGCTGTTATGACACACACGTGAGTGTGTCCTGCTGTCAAGAGTGAGGTTAGATTATTATTGTGGAATTAGAAATTTGAATTTGTTGTATCTATCTAATAACAATTTGTAGGAACGGTAGTGTTGTGGTATTTTCTTTGTGAAGGGGTCTGCTGCTTGATTCCCCATCTCCGTTTTCTCCTCCCTTAGTGTTATAGAAAACGTCCATTCCATTGTTTTTTTGGTAATACGTCCTTCCTTTTCCTAGATAGCACTGAGATTTACTTTTTATCCTCGAGTGTTAATATTAGTTCTTTTGTGGTTTAATTTCTATAACCTTATATTTTATTCTGGTTTTGTGTGTTCTGTTGTTCTCTTCTCCGAAATAACTACTACTTTTTTTCTTTTTTCTCTCATTTCTGTTTTCATTATAGTGGAGAGTTAAATCTTCGAGTTGTTGAGCTTTACAACTTCAATGTTTTATGTGGAAGATACGGATGACATGTTGCAAGAATTGAATCGTGTTGCAGGTTCTTTTTGTTCATATTACTTCTAGAAATTTGGAGTTAAAGAAAATGTGTTTTGAGTATTTTTTTTGACTGACTATTGAGAATTTTGGTACGCTTAGTAGGGTGGAATTTTAATTTTGATACTTCAGGTTGAGGGTCATCATTACTTTTAGGAGCATAGTTCGTAGGTTTAACCTATAGTATGCTGCTGGTGATCCTTTCAATTAATGTCGGGTCATTCTTCTCCTATGTAACTGAAGACTTCATCCTCTCTGCTTTAGATTGATCTCTGCCTGATACATTGTATTCCTAATACAAACATCCCTATGCTAAAACACATCAGTCTGGGTAGTGATGTGAAGTTTCATCAACCGTCTTATTGATGGAGAACCGGAACCGGGCCTGGCCTGAGAGCTTGAAGACCACATGGCCCACACCTACTATTGGGAGACATGGGAAAGAAAGATAGAACTAGGGATTTTAGTTTATTTATTATTATTATTATGGAATATTTTAGCGATTTAGGGTTTTATTTATGATAAAAGGTTGATTAGGGTTTTTTATTTGATGTTTATTTATATATTGGTTCAGACATTGTGAAAGTTAGTTTTTGATATTGATTATTGATTATTGATTATTATTCAGAAATTATTGTGGTTTCTTCCTCGATTCTGATTTCTCCCTCTGTTATTCTTCTTTTCTCCATCATTTTGATTTCTTCCCCTATTATTCTAATTCTATCTCTCTCTCAGTCTCTATCTTATCCTCTTTCTTATTTGAATTCTGTTATCGAATCGTTCTTACCCGTTGCTGCATCAATTGGTATCAGAGCAAAAGATTCACGTTGTTGACTCTACTGTTCACAAGTCTGTTCATCCTCATTTCTCATCCACCCAAAACGTACAATCAGAACCTAGTCAACACCCTAGCTGCCACTACTGCTGCCATCCATCAAGTCTTGCAAAACTTTAGCCCAGACCAAAAACAAACCAACCCACCTCCACCAAAACAGCAGTAAGCCATCTAACCCACCAAACAGAACAACAAACCCAAACACAATTACAGGACCCAAACCCACAACCAATCTACAGAACTCAAACCAACAGCTTCCTTGCCGTGTCGCAGTTGTCAAAGAGCTTTTTGTTCGTTCTTGTCGTCGTCAACCTTCACCGCCGCTGCAAATCCTCAAATTGGAATCTGATACAAACATCATTGCCGGAAGCCGTAGTCAGAATCGCATCGCGTTGCCCTCGCCATCGTTAGTTTCATGACCATCGTCGGAGTCGATTCTGCTGTTCGTTGTTGTCATTGCTGGAAGGTCACTGATTCAAGCCTAAAGTTTTGGTCTTCTATCCATTTGGAAAGAAAGCGCAGGGTATACATATCAGAGGATCAGAGGATCAGATCAGATTAGTTGTTTGGCCCAGTCTAGTATTACTTCAGCCCAAGTGCCAACCAGAATTACACCAGCCCTGTTTGGTTTGGGGTATAGAGCTATTCAAGTTTTGAACAAGTTCTGAAATCAGTTCAAAATTGAACCAGTTCAACAATTCCAGTTGTGAACCAGTTCAAAAAAAAAATAAAAATAAAAAAACGAATAAAATGAGATTGACTTTTTTAGTAGCATTCAATATTTGGGTTGATCACAAAGGACTTCAGAAAGTTGTTTTAGTACTTTTATCCATTTGATTAGTTTAGAAATTGCAAATGGTCCTAATTGAACCCTTGAACCAAATAAATATATATCTTTTTTATTGTTTCCACCTTTAATTTTACACCTAAGTACCGACACCAGTGCATTACTTCTAGCATAATTAATTTCATTTGCATTCAGATTTCTTAGTTGTGCATTGTTCGAGTTTATAATTTAGTGTACTTGATTCAATTTGAGGTCTATGTTGGCATTATCCTCAACCATTCTTATGTCCTACCATTTCACCATGACTATTAACAACCTTCTTTAAACTTTATCCACTGACCTAGTTGATACATCTTCTTAACGATGTCAGAGGAGAATATCGTTTTATGTCCCCAATGGCTTTGTTCGTTTTATGTCCCCAATGGCTTTGTTATAAGCCAAGCAAGGTTAAGATTGTTGAGTCCAAACCAAGGTTCCCATTAGAAATAGAATTAACTGGTGTGAAAATGAAAGGAAAACAAAAACAACGTTGAAAATAAATTTGGAACAACTGCTTTTGAAAATTGGAAATAGGCTTTTTCAAATTCCATCCTCAATCAGTGAACTCCTTTGTTTGCTTAACAAAACTAATCACTTGCTTTGCAAAGTACACTAGGACTCATGTGCTTCAATGCAAGTTGCACTCTCTCTCCAATAATGAAGGCTTTCTCTGGATCGCTCAAGAAATGATTCTGCTTAATGGCTATCGATATCCTGTACATCCGCATGTAGCTGTGTTCACCAGGTTTGACCACGTACTATCAGTATTCTTAGTGAATCTTTGAGTTTGATCCTGGCTCAGAAATATTTTTATATTTTTTTTCATATCCTTTAGAGTAACATTTTATATTTTGTTATTTTGTTAAATATTTATTATAATAGTAGATTAATATCTGTATATATATCTCCTGAAGAGTATGATTTAACATTGGGGTATTTTTTTAATTGCTAAAGAATTTTAAAGGATTATAGATTGTGATGTTAGAGTTGCAGTAGCTTCATGCCTTAGTGAGTTACAATGATTGTATCATCTTTTGAAAGTCAATATGATAGATCAGTCCATCTTATGATAAAAGGGTCAAAACCCTTAACACATTTGCAAGTGTAAGTCATGATTAATAATGTTAGATTTGGAATGTGAAGAGTTGATTGTCCAGATGCTTCAGTAGTTTTTAACATAAATAAGAGATTATCATCCGGACAATATCTTTTAACATGTAAGAGCAAATTATGACCCTTGTACATGCGACTATATCTTCGTAGAGCAACTTCGTCCTCTTCAAACTAGTGTTAGGAAAAGGAAATCAGACTATTTCACCTCAATCTTATTATAAGTTAGGAGAGAAAGTCTTGAAAAACTACTCCCCTCTTCCAAAGGCTCT